TTTTTTTTTTTTTAAATAAACTATCCTATATGATGCTTTGAGTTAGGGTATACAAAAGAGCGTTAGTTTTTTTTTATTGATATCTGTTTGTTTGTCTATAATTCCTTTCTATTTGAAATGAATAGAGAGAGAACACAACAAATGTAACACACATATGCTCAAACAAATGTACACCCGCGAACAGTCACGTTTAAATCACCCGTTCTGATTTTAGAACGGCTCGTTGCGGGCCACTAAAAAAGGTTGATTTGGGCCTTTGGGCCCTCTGATGTCCTATCTTGTTATTTGTATGCCCCCCGGACGAAATTGGGTGTCTACAATGTGTTAAGCTTTCTCATCATAAAGCTTAACAATAAAACTTACACTCTCAGTAATGTAGCTCTAGCACTTTCTCATATTTTAGGAAGAAACAAAAAAAATATTAAAATTGATTAAAATCAATTTAGTGCTAGTAGAACTGACAACTGACTTGTTTTTACCCATATGAACCTTATTCATGGGATCTCCAATCACAAAGGTTGGGTTACCATCACTTGTTTGTTTTCAATTGGCTTAATAAAGTCTCATTCCCCTCTTTGTTTATATAAGCAATTGCTTTACCATATTATTTTCAATGTTATATTCCCAATGGAATATTTACTAAGAGGTTTTTCAACCACTCATCCTTATAATCACCCATATCAAGAGAAATAAACTTTAACTCAACAGTTATTTAATTGGTTGATCTCAAAGTAATTGCACCGCATCCAAGTGTAGTGACATAACCACGAATGGATTTTGTCTCCACCCGCGAAAAATCACGTTTAAATTCTTGGTTTGTGGTCCCTACAAGAAAAGTGCATTCTATAGGATAGTTCTAATCTCACTGGTCTTAAGGCCCCTAAGGTGCCCCCATTATAGGGACCCGGTATCTCTATCGCCGTCACCTGACAAACTCTAAGGTCTGTCTTTGTCGAGGTGATCATGGCAAACCCACAATTATGCTTGAAGTTGTAGCTTCACAAGACTTGTGGATTTGGCATGCTTTTTTTGGCACCGCAGGTTCAAATAATGACATTAATGTGTTGAATGCTTCGAATGTGTTTAATGACGTTTTGTCAGGACAAGCTCCTGCTGTACAATACATAGTAAATAGAACCCAATATAATATAGGTTATTATCTTGCTGATGATATTTATCCTGAGTGGGCTACATTTGTGAAGACCATCCCTATGCCACAAGGAGAAAAGAGAAAATTATTTGCCGAACGACAAGAATCGGCAAGAAAAGATGTAGAGCGAGCATTTGGAGTATTGCAATCTCGATTTGCAATTGTGCGTGGACCGGCACGTGCTTGGCGTGTTGATACATTGAAGAATATCATGTATGCATGCATCATACTACATAACATGATAGTTGAAGATGAAAGACACACGTACAATATTAATTTTGATTATGATAATGGTGGTAACGAAGTCTCAACTACCGATATATCTATTGGTCTTCATCCTATTTTTGCTGCAACATACTTACAAAGGAGGGCACATCTTCGTGATAGACAGCAACACCGACAACTACAACACGACTTGGTGGAACATATTTGGGAACGATTTGGACATCATAATAACGAAAATTAGTGTGTATTTAATTTTTATATTTAATTTTGTTGTAATTTTTGGTATTTCTTTTTATTATGTAATTTCTCTTTATTATGTAATTTTTTTTTATTATTGTAATTTTTGGTATTTCTTTTTATTAATAAATTTATTTTTATGATTGTAATTTTTTGTATTTTTTTATTATGTAATTTTTTTTATTATTAAAATATGAGTTGTAAAAAAATTGAGGTGTCAAAAAGTGTAATATGAGTTGTAAAAAAAGTGAAGTGCTTATAAGCAATTTTCATCGGAACAAAAGTTGTAAAAATATAATATGAGTTGCTTATGAATAACGTGACACATGAGACCCATTTAAAATGGTTGGGAGTTACTTATAAGTAACTCCCATTATAGATGCTCTAAGGCTACTAAAGTGTCGAGTCAAGTTACGACATAAATGTATCATCCTAACGCGTATGGAAACAAATATGTTACTCACATGTTCGATGAAATCGTCGTCGAAAATGAGCATCTGTGTAAACTGAATTCTCAGAGAAGTAATCATTGAACAATCGATTGTGCCCTTCTTCACGACATCGATCAATCATCAATCTTTTTTTCCTTCGACGAGTAGTGTTGTCTTCAAGTACCAATCTCATTATACGTTCGTCAGTGTTGTCTTGAAGTTCCTCATCTATAACTTGCTCAAACAAAGCAACAAAACTCTTTAAGCTCTCCTAAGCTCAACAAAACTCATATATAATCATGTATTACCTCAAAAGCAAATAACTAAAAATATACTAGTCATCAAATCAAGTATATGATCACAAAAATATGAGGGAACTTTAAACTAATATCTAAAAACATATAGCAAATATGTTCAACAATACGTAAAGTAATGTACCCAAAGCCCATCATATATGATTATATTGGTGTTAAGGGGAGTTTCATCTCATTTATAAAAATTAATAATAATAATAATAAGGTGTATTAATAATTAAATATTCTCATCATGAAGAGAATCTCAAATATTAATTGCCTACATCATTTCTCATATGATGTCTCGCAATTACTCTTCTCATCCTCTCATCACACCTCATCTTTTCTCTTAAGTGATAGTACTTTTCAAGATCATATTGTACCACTGGTTATATCTGTCAAAGCTATAATCAACCTCCAATATTATATCTATACTTTATTTTTTTATTTTATAAAAAAATTACCTTTTCCGGTGAAAGAAACAAAATCCAAAATATATTACAAAATTCCAAAGAGATTTTCATGGACAACATAAGTCCTTAAGAATGTTGTATAAAAATGGCGGACGCAACTATGAGTAACCTGAAACACCGAACAAACATTAGTAAAATTCCCCTGAGGCGTGTGATGGCACTGACCTTAAGGACTTATCCGCGGGATACCCGCAAGGCCCCAGGATACAACAAGGTCGTCTCAAGGAATTGAGGAGCAGAACTGACAATTAGAAAATTTGAGAACTTAGAGAGAAGGAAGAGAGAAAGATGTTTTGGGGGGTAAGAAAATAAGTTTTGGGGTAAGAAAATAGTGTGCCGGAGACCTCTATTTATAGAGTCAAAAAACCTAAAAATCACATATTAATCCGATAATTAAAGAAAATAAATCTGGTAATTAAAGGAAATTAATTCGGTAATTAAAAGAAAATTAATCCAAATCTATGTAAGATATTAATGATAGAATCAAATTTGAATTTGAAATGTGAAAAACTGCCATTTTCAAATATGATTTCCTTAATTAATTTAATGTAATCAAAATAAAAATATTTTCGGATCTCATTTTCTTTTGCAATATCATATATGTACAACATATGGGTGTTAGAGACCTGAGATTGTGAAGTTTGCAAATGTATAAAGCGTTTGATATTGTAAATTTCAAAGTGTTTTGTTGGATTCAAAGTGTTTGTTCAAGATAAAGTTTCAAAGATCCAATAGTTAATTTAAAATCTTTAATGTATAAATCAATTAGTTTACAAGTTTTTAAAAATTTAAAAATTGATTGATATTTTGTTTTATTAACTCAATTTGACGGATAATCATAAAAGTATTTTATACATTGATTTGAATTATATAATGATGTATCATATAATTTTTAAATTCTTTAAGAATTTGGTTAAATTTCATTTTCGGTCCTTCTTTTTCCTCTATCTGTAATTTTGATCCCTCTATTTTAAAATTGAGATATTTAGTTACCCTATATTTTAAAATATAGAACTTTGGTTCTCCCAGCAATTTGATGTTTGTTGATTATTAAATTTGAACGTTATCGAGTAATCTTTAACTAGTTAGGTGATGTAATATTTAGTGACGTAGCATATAGGGATAAAAATTAAAAATAACATACAAAAGATTTTTGTATGTATATTTTTTTTACAAGGATTATTTATTTTTATTTTATAAATAAAAATCTTATTTGTATATATATTTTTTTCAATTTTTTATTTCTTAATGCCAAGGTACTAAATGTTATATTACTTAAGTATCAGTAAATATTAACTTAATGATTAGTAGATGTTAATTTGATAGAAGGATCAAAATTTCGTATTTTAAAATTAGAGGGACAAAATGTCTCTATTTTAAAATAAAGGGACTAAAAATATATTTGAACTTAAAAAATTTTAAACTTGATATATATATATATATATATTATGAGGAATTTTTTATTTAACTTAGATGATTTAAATTAATGTAGAACATGAGATGTTTGAATAGAGTAAGTCTCCTAAAACTTAGTCTTGGCATAAGTGGATTTATCTATCCATCTATCTATCTAGAGGAGGGATCCTTTTACACTAGGAGTAAGTCTACCTAGACTTACTCTGTTCAATAACTCATGTTTTACATCAAATTTCAATGATCCAACCGTTCAATTTAAAGTTCTTAATGCACAAATCAAATCTGCAAATTTTTAAAAAATTTGAAAATCATTTGATACTTCATTTCATTAATTCGAATCAATGTAGAAAATGTTTTTATGATTGTCCGTCAATTTAAATTAATGAAATGAAGTATCAAATGATTTTCAAATTTTCTAAAAATTTGTAGATTTGATCTATGCATTAAGAACTTTAAATTGAACGATTGGATCGTTGAAATTTAATGTAGAACATGAGTTATTGAAAGGAGTAAGTCTATGTAGACTTATTCTTAGAATAAAAGGATTCCTTCTTATATATATATATATATATATATATATATGTGTGTGTGTGTGTGACCAGACTATATCCCTTTAAAACCACTAGATTTTCATAAAATTTGGACCACAAAATTTTATGTGGTCAGGCTTGAAGAAAGGATCAAACCTCTTAATTTTCAAATTCTTGCCTTATTTAAGCTTTGGCCATCCATAACGGTTTCTTTAATATCACGTTTTCCTTCACTCTCGTTTGTGCTTTGTGGCTAAAGGTTCAAATTAACAAGGATCCAACGTAAGTATGTTAAGGGCAATTTTCACATTTTCTTTGGGCACCATGTTTGGGGTTTTTCTTACTCGGAGGGCACACAATCTTTTTCAACGTGAAGGGATTCGAGGGCTTTCCTCTAAGAATGATGTTAACCAGAAAGTTCTTGTGAGCCATTCTACAGTGGAACGTCAAAACCGAGAATGATTGATGAATATCCCATGATGAAAATAGTATAGTAGTTGATTGTACATGCCTATAAATGGTCAACTATGAAATTAGTGCTCCACTACGCCACCGGATTCGTGACAAGAAATTTCTAGGAATGAATGAGTATATATAAATAAACGATTGAATTATGTAAATATTTGTAACGTGGATAAATCGTAAATATATTGGATAGGTAAAGTTTTATTTATTTATTTTATTTATTTTTATTTTTTTTCATATGGAGGTATAATTTGGATCATTTCAACTAGCTAGGTTAGTCCCTATAAGAATAAAGTTACACCTTCGGTCATGACTCCATGTTCAAGATAATGATTGGTAAAGGTTTGAATTGGGAGTCATTTATATATTTTCTATATATCATATTTGGAAATTACTTATAATTTATTTGTAAAGTTTGAATTATGATTTATGTAACATCCTAGATTCTCTAAAAATATCAAAAAGATAATTTAATTAATTAAATACATTTTATAATTACATTAAAGTCTTTTAAAATAATTATGAGTATTTTTATTAATTAAAGAATGATTTGTAAAACTATTTGTTATATTAATTATCAAATATGTAAATATGTTTTATTTGTTTTAATTTATTTTGATTAGATATTATGACTTTGGTTATTTTAAAGATTTTATAAATAAGAATGTTTTAAGATAAGAAAAATAAAGATTTTGATATTATAATATTTGAATAAATATTATCTTATGTATTTGAAGGAAAATAAAGATTTCAAAATTACTTTATCTGAAAAGATATGATCTTATATATTTATATAAAATATTTTTTAATTAACTAATGAGGATAATAATATTCTAAGAAATATTTTAAGATAATAGTTTATTTATTATTTTTAAATATATATTATTGATTTAATTGTTTGAATAATTGTGTATTTATCTTTTCTAATTAATTACTTCAGGGATAATATATTCTAAGTAATTAGATAAGATATTAGTAGTTAATTATGTTTATAAATTCAAATTTGAATTATTAGTGATAGAGGACCATCTTTGAAGTCAAATGTGGGACCCATCACTAGGTCCATGGCTAGGAAAATAGAAGAAGAGGAAGGAGCTCACACATTTAGAGATACTCTCCTCATGGTCATAGAGTATTAATTACTCTCCTAAGCCTCATTAGTATAGGAATTATTTTCTTTTCTTTTATTTAATGAGTTTTATTTTCCATTTTACCCTTATATTTTGGGGTACTTAGAATTTATGATTTATCTTACTTTGTATTTCCTATTTTGCCCTTATATTTTAGGGGCCTTAATTCCTAGAGGTATGGTGAATGGCCATGAACATTATGGGATCTATTAGGCTAAGTAGAGCATCGACCCAAGTGGAAGGGCACCTAGGTTGCATACTCCCAT